TATCTATCTATTTTGTGCTGTAACTCTTTATAACTGTACTTAGTGAATTTTGTAAATTAATATTATGCATGATATCACTTATATAATTTATATTTTTATAATAACATGTAAATTATTTATAATTTATATAACCATATATGTAACAATTAATACTTTATGTACTAATTTAATTTACATTGCCTCAAGGTTGAGAGGGCCTGGCATAGTTCAGTATGATTTTTTTTTTTAAACAGCACTTATATTTTAGGGGGGAGGATACAGTCACTTAGCTACTAGTATGTGTCAGAAGTGGGGGCTTGAACCCAGTTCCTAGCAGTCCATCAGACACTCACTTGTAGCTATCCTTTCCACCCTTCCTTTCTTTCTACTCCAAACCCCTTAGTCTTTTCTTTTCCAGGTGAAACATCCTATTCTTTCAATAAATCCTTATGTGACATGATTTTAAGATTCTCCCCTACTCCCTGCTTCATTCTGGTCACTTTCTTTTGGTACTTTTTGACACTTTCATCTTGTCATTGTCCTTACTGAAAGGTAGCATTCGGAACTTAACACGATACTCTGTTTGGGTATTGACCAGGGTGGAGTACAGTGGGCCTCTTCAGCCTAGCATGGTGGAAAAGGCATGAGATTTGGAATCAAGAGGACCTGGTTTCGAATTCTTGCTTTGCCACTTACTGTCTGTATGGTCTTGGTCAAGTCACTTTACCTCTCAGGGCTTCCATTTTCCTCATCTATAAAATGAATATGTAAGAATCATCTCTAAGGTCCTTTCTAGTCCCAAATCTATTGAGTCTATTATCTATAAACTGTGACTGAGGCAGCTAGCAGTGAAGTGGATAGAGTACTGGGCCAGGAGTCAAGAAGACTGAGTCATTAAGAAGACTGAAGAAGACTGGCCTCAGACACTTGCTAGCTGAGTGACCCTGGACAAGTCACTTGAGACTGCTGCTTGCCTCAGTTTACCCATCTATAAAATGGAAATAATGATAGCACTTAGCTCCCAGGATTATTGTGGGGATCAAATGAGATAGTATTTATAAAATACTTTGCAAATCTGAAAGCTCTATATAAATGCTATCTACTAACGTATGTTTGCCTCCCTAATCTTGGACACTAGACGTCTTCTAAGATTGCATATGCCTGCCATGACCCCTGTTGTTCACTAAAATCCTCTAGGTCCTTTTCACATAAATTGCCCACATCTATTTCTTCCTGTATTTGTGTAGTTTTTTTTTCCAACCCAAATTTAGAGCTTGAAATTTAATTGGGTTAAATGGAACCTTATTACGCTTGGCCCATCATTTGAACCAATTGAGATCTTTTTAGATCCTGATTCTGTCGTTCAGCATGTTAGCTGAATTTGCCAGCTTGAGGCTGTCTGCTAGTTTAGTAAGCATGCAACCCATGCCTTTATGTGAGGCATTAATCAGCAGGTATTTATTAAGTGCCTACTTGCAGCTGAAACCTTCTTTTATATATGTATATATATTCATTCCTCATATTAACAAGTGGACTTCTAGAGAGCAGGGACCATCTTACCTTTCTGTTTATATCCCTAGCATTTATTACAATGTTTGTTACACAGTAACACATGCCTATTCATTCATTCATTCATTCATGCATACATACTTCATGTCAGGCATTGTGCTCAGTGTTAGAGATACAAAAACAAAAGTGAAACAGACCAGGGAGCAGTTTCAGGGAACTGGAGCATCTTTAAACCTCCACAGGCAGAGCTGTAAGTGGCAGAACCAGGATTTGAAACCAAGTCCTGTGACTCTAAATCCCATGCTTTTTCTACCATTCTAGGCTGCAAAGGCTGGACTTCACCATGGTCAGTACCCAAATGGAGTATTACATTAAGTTCTGGATGTCACATTTTAGTAAGGACATTGATGAGATAGAATATGGCCAAAATAGTGGACCAGCATGGTTAGGGGTCTTAAAATCATATCATATAAGGATCTATTAAAGGGAGAGGATTAACTTACAACCTAATGATAGAGAGAAGTCATTCGTGAAGGTATGGAACAGAGCTAGACCATGGAAAAAAGCCCCGTGGTGTTCCATTAGAGATCTCCCACCAGTTTGATATCTATCCATTAAGTCACCACTCCTTGAGACTTGACATTTAAGTTCTGGATCCACCTTACTGTGTTCTCCTCCAGCCTTTGGGTCATGTCTTATCTATCAGGAAATCGTGAGAAACTTGACCAGATACCTTACTGATATCCAGGTAGCTCCACTGCGTTCCCTTGTTCTGCTAATGCAGTGGTAATGCTGTCAAAGGAGAAAAAGAGGTTAGTCTGGTACGACTTGTTTTTGATGTGCCCATGTTGGCTTGTAATAGCTGCTTTTTCTCCAAGTGCGTGCCGGCCAGCCCTTTTAATCATCCGTTCTAGAACATTGCCACAAAGTGAGGTTAGACTCCTGAGCCTATCATTTAAAGACTCTGCTTTCCTTCGCCTTTGAGAATGGACAGAGCTGAAGTCCTGACTCCGGACCTGTGTCGCCTGCGTGTTCTGCAGAGTTTTGCAAGCATTGTGGATGACAGCTGAACTGTCATATTCATTCTCTTAGTACCATCAGATGGAATCGATGCAACCTTGATGACTTGTCCCTCCTAAGGACAGCTAGATGGGCCCAGCCTCCTCATTTGTGTTCTGTTTCAAATCCCTGTGCATAAGAGTTTTATACTTTGCAGGGAAGGGAAGCAGAAGAAAAATGTAATAGTTATCCTTTTAAAAAAAACTAAAAAAAGCATTATTGCTATTTTTATTTTTAAATAGCATTCTCATTTCCTGATACTATGTCTGTAGTAGAAAACCTTGTCTCCACTCACGTTTGCCACCTGGTCCAGGTCCCCATCACCTCACTTCTGGATTATTGGGGTAACCTTTAGGTTGGGCTCCCTGCCTCAAATCTCTCCCCATTCTGGATGTCTGCCACTCAGGTGCCATTGATCTTCTTGATCTGACCCTGTCACCACCACCTCTACTCAGTAAACTCCAGTGGCTTCCTCCTCCCCGTAAGATCAAATATGAAACCCTCCGTTTAGGCCTTGTTCCTATTCCTCACATGAGAGCTGTCTCCCATCTTGGTGCCTTTGCACAGACTCTTAGCCAATACCCATGGTGCCGTCCTTCCCACTTGTACCTTCTTGTGTACCTTCAGGATGCTGCTCAGATCCCACCTGCTCCTTCCGAGATCGCCTCTCATGGATACTATAGATGTACAGAGTTATTGGCATGGGGTTGAGGCAGGAACAGTGGTTTTGCTTTTCTTTGTATCTCCAGTGGTCCTATCACTGCTTTGATCATCTTCTTGACCGCCCAAAGTAGAGCTTTAAAAAAGGTCCTTTGTTTGTCCAGAAAGAGCCCTGGCTCTGAAGTCAAAGGACCTGGGTTCAAATCTGCCTCTGATAGTTACCAGCTACAGAGTTAGACTTTAATGACCTCTAAAGTTGCTCCAGTCTTCTCTCTCTCCACCTTCTCCTCCTTTCCTTCCTCCTCTTTCTCTCTCTCTCTCTCTTTCCCTCTCTCTTCCCCCCACGTCTCTCTGTCTCTGCCTTTTTCTTTTCTCTCCTCTCCACCTTCTCCTCTCCCTTCCTTCATCTCCTGCAAGCGTAGATGCCTAGTTGTATGAGCCTCACTTTAACCTTAGTGAGTGCAGTCGAAGACCCCGGTTAGGTTAGAATGATTTTGGGGGAGCAGTGCACCCAGAGGAGGAGTGGCCTGGGCCCTGGCTCTCTTGGAGCTGAGAAAAATGAGGCAAACAGGGTGAAGTGACTTGCCCAGGGTCACACAGCTAGTCAAAGTCCAACACCAGATTTGAACTCAGGAAGATGAGTCTTCCTGACTCTTCAGGCTCAATGCTGTGTGCACTATGGCGCCACCTAGCTGCCCTGATCATGAGTGCTTGGTCGGTTGAATGTAATTTGCTGAGACTCCTCAAAGACAGTGATGAAGCCTGAGCCTAGTCTGGCCAGCTGTCTCCCTGGGATGGGCCTTGAAAGTCATTCATTCCCTTGTGTCTTTCCCCATTTTTCCACCCCACCCTCAACCTCATTTTGTTTGGGGGTAATGAGCTAACAAGTTGCTTGAAGTTGTGTAAGGAAAGTGGTTTGTTAAGGAACACAAGCTTGTACCTGTTGTCACCAAGACTTTCTGTGGTGGTTGGGTCCGTGTTTCTTGTTGGCCAGCAGCGTCGTGCCCGTGATGGAGAGCCAGAAGCACCACCTTCGGAAGGGACCTTCAGTGCCTGATGATGCTGCCAGCTCCAGCTGGCGTCGGTCACTTTCTTCTGCAGCCAAACCTGGCCGATAACTGGCTTCAGTTTTCGTTTTCTAGCTGCGGAGTTGACACTCGCCCGCTTCTTTTCCTATAATTTGAGTTAGAACCTTGGAGAGCATCCTAGCCCACTGCTTATCAGGCCCTTGTCTCCTCCATGGGAATGGAAGCTCATTGGAAAAGGGATTTTCTTTGTATTTGTATCCCCAGTGTCTGGCACCCAGTAGCCAGTTAATAAGTGCTTGGTTGATGGGTGGATCACTGGGCTTTGTAGTCAGGAAGACCTGGGTTCAAATTCTGCCTTCACTGTGGATAGCTACTTGAGCCTGGCAAATCCTATAACCTTTTGGGTCTCAGTTTCCTCATCTGTAAAACAGGGATGACAGTCGCACCTTCTTCACACAGCTGGTTTGAGGCTCAGTGAGACGATAGGATCATAGCTTTGTAGCTAGAAGGGATCTCAGAGTTCATCTAGTCCAACATGCCCAGTGTCTCAAGGCAGGATTTGAACCCAGCTCTCCCTGCCGCTAACTCCAAATCCAGCACTCTGCATTGTACTGTGATTTCCCAGTGTCACAGCAGCATTCCTGTAAGGCAAATCTGTTGCCTCCATCCTGTTTTATACGTGAGATCATCAGAGGACCGCGGAGCTAACGGTCTTCCAGGTCTCCCTCCTCATCCGCGCCGTGCGTGTCTCTCTCTGTGTCCCAGGGCAGCGAGATCCGGGACCCTGCCTACGTGGATAGTGAGAATACCCTTGGAGAGTCCGACCTCTTTCCCGAGGACGAGGCCATGACGCTGGCGCAGCACGAAGTCCTTCATGAATCTGACATGGACAGCGCCATTGACAGTGCCCCGAGTCTGGAAGTATCTGACATGAGTCCGGGAGAGGAGAAGGACGGGGTCCTCGGAGGCCTCTTTCTTCCAGGCGATAAGTAAGTCCAATGTCCGGGCCAGAAGAACTGCGCCTGCGGCTGATGACGGCCTTTCCTGGCCAGGTCCCAGCTGAGGGGGATTCCTCCTTCCCTTTATGTTGTGGACTGATGGGCAGACAACAGTGCTGGTGCCTGGACAGGGCGGGGGATGCCCCTTAGAAGTGCGAAGGGGAGGGGAATAAGCATTTATCTTGTATCTCATTGGGTCCTTTCAACCACCTGTGAGATTCATTTTACAGGTGGGGAAACTGAGGCAGACACATTAAGTGACTTGCCCAGGGTCATACAGCTGGTGAGCGTCTGAGGCCAGATTTGAACCCAGGTCCTCCTGACTCTATCTACTATGCCACCAGCTTCGGCTGATTTGGAGGCAGGCTGAAGAGCCAAGCTGCTCATTAATGGACAGCCAGTGGTTGTGAAATCAGATCTAGGCTTGAATCCTGGCTCTTCTACTTATTACCTGTGTGACCTTGGACAAGTTGCTTCCCCTCTCTGAGTCTTGTGCTTGTGTGAGACTGTGTGACCCTGGGCAGGTCAGTGAATTTCCTAGGGTCACACAGCCACATTCGACTCTGAACTCAGTCCAGACCAGTCCCTCATGCACTAGCACAGATGGGGCTGAGGAGAAGAGGGATCGGGAAAGTCCCTTGGGAAGCGGCGTTTGAGCTGAGATGCTAAGCGGCAGAAGCGAGGAGACGGGAGGGAGGACATTCCAGGCATGCTCAGAGCTGGCAGCGAAGGTGTTTATGAGAAACGGCGAGACAGGCCAGTGCGGCTGGAGCAGAGGATGCGTCAAGGCGGGTGGGCGGGCGACGTGAAGTGAGCTTGGAGAGGCGGGTTGGAGCCAGATCGGGAAGGCCTTTAAACGTGAGAAGAAGCGTTTCCAACTGGGCTTTTCTTGGTCTTCCAGATCATTTATCCCCAACCCATCTGCGACATCCGATCTCTCCACACACTCAACAGCCTCCCTCATCAGTAATGAAGAGCAATTTGAAGACTACGGGGAAGGGGACGATGTGGACTTCAACCCCAGCAGCCCCTGCCCCGATGATGAGACGAGAACCAACGCCTACTCTGACCTGGGGTCCTCCGTGTCTTCCAGGTACCTGCTCTGGCTCTGGCTCTGGGGTGGGAAACGGGACCTGATTAGGGCTTGGGGTTCAGAGAAGACATGGGGCTGCAACTTGGTGCTTCTGTACCAAGGAAGTAAGGCAGAGCTGCTCTTGGAGAGGCAGCCCGGCACCTGGCCTGGAGTAAGAGCTTACTAAGTGCTTATTGATCGACTGAGTGACCATCCTGCTTCATTTGAGACCTGGCTCTGAGAAGGTCCCTGCTGGGGTCAGCTTGAGCCAGCTCTCCCTGGCTGTTCGGTTTTCAGTGGCAGCCTTTACGTCTCAAAAGTCAGTAATCCTGCAAATCAGGGCTTGATTTATGAGGGTTTTTTTTTCATTGTCTGGATTTAAGAAAGTGATGGAGAAAATGGCAGTAAGACAGATTAAATGTAGAAGCGTGTCCAGTGTACATTTCTCCCACCCTTCCAGAGCTGGTTGTTAGACATTTACTAGCATATCCCTGGCACTAAGTCAGGGGTCTCCGGCTTGGTTGTCTCCCTGCCCTAGTAGTGGCTATTCTTCCCTTGGGGTTGGGAACAAGAGGAAGACCTGACTCTGTGTGACAGCTTTTGTGAGCTACTGGTGTGTATTTTCCTGTCTCCACAAATCCCCCATTTCATACCTGGGAAGGAGGCCAGTTCAAATTTATCTGGGGAAATTGCCGAGAGGCAAGAGTTAAATACTAGAACCTGAGTCCCCACTTGGACCTCAGACCTTGGCCTTCGAATGGGCATCAGCCTACTTAACTCCCTTCCACTCTCCACCTCTAGAGTATTGTCAGATTCTAGATCTAACCGGTACCCGGGGGGGATTTCAATCATTGAATTGCTCCCGGAAGTTCTAGGGAGTTCAGACATTCCTGAAGCGCACTTACTGAATTTGGAGTCAGCAGAGATCTGAGTTCAACTCCAGTCTCAAACATTTGCTAATTTTGTGAACCTAGCAAGCCATTATATTTCCTCACCTGTAATATGGAGCTTATGATATTAATAATAATACCTGTAATATACACCCCACAGCGTTGTGAGAGGCACATCAGACTGTGTGTTTGCATTTGTTAAGTTTGCTTTTGCAAACTTAAGAAGTACTACAATTATTGTTGATGTTTATTTTTATCATGACCATTTTGTTTATTTTGATCGTGGCCATGTGGCTTTCTTGGAACCTCGGCTCAGGAGGATGTTTTGACCAATTAGATTAGGCAGATGATAAGTAAAGTTATCTCCTTTCCACCAACAAACAGTGCAGGACAGACCCCTAGAAAAACGAGGCATATCTACAACAATGAACTGCTGGATGTCTACTGCTCTCAGTGCTGTAAGAAAATCAGTCTGCTGAATGATTTGGAAGCCAGGCTGAAGAATCTGAAGGCCAACAGGTGAGCGAGCATTGGCCCCCAAGGGGATTTCTGGCTTCTCTGGAGCCAGCTGTGACCTGAAGGAAAGTGAAGGAAAGGAATGGGCTCTCTCCCTGATCCTGGGCCCAGATGGGGGGTGGTGTCTGCCTGGCCAGCGGGTCAGCTGGGTCCCTCCGGTGGGTCTGAAGAGGGGATTTGTTAGGCAGAGCATGGGCTCTGAAGTCAGATGACTTTCATTTGAATCCCAGCATTGCTGTGTGATCTTGGGCAAATCACGCGCTTCTTCTGTAAAATGAGAGGATTGGCTCAGATGCCCTCTGAGGTCCCTTCTAGCACAAATTCTGCAATCCTCTAACCTGTGATCATAATATTTAACCTGCTGAGGAACAGATTCTTGGGATCTGTAAGTAGCTGAGGGCCTGACTGGCCCTGGTTGACCAGGAAGAAAGTTGGGACAAGACTTTCCTGTGCTGTGATGAGAAGGGAATGGCCAGGCATGGGCTCAGAGGTGGGAAAACAGAGTGGCAAATACAGTCCAGAATAACCAGGGAAGGGAGCTTTCCCTACTCACTGTGTTTTAAGACTTAAACGTGATATCTGTGAGACACCTTCCCCCCTCCCAAACCTTGATTTTGAATGTGATTGATGCTATACTGTGTTCCATTATGCATTAAGACCAAGGCTGATCTTCTTTTCTCTCCTCTAGCCCCAACCGGAAGATCTCTAGCACAGCATTTGGACGGTAAGACCCTATCTGCCTTTTGTGGGTTCCTCTGGGATTGAGTTAATGTTTTGTTTCTACTTACCTGTGTGACTTCCGGGCAGCCCCTCTTCCCTCCCCTGACTCCTCTGTCCCATCCTTGGGCAGTGAGCGTCTCTGGACGCTTAACAGTTGATGTTAAGTGACGGGGGATGTTCCAAGCATAACTTTCAAACAGAAGTTTGTTCCTTTCTTTCTTGACAGCTGCACAAAAAAACCAGCCTTAATTCAGTTCCCCCAGACTAGAAGAGCCGTGAGTGAGAAAACTCAGCCATGTGAATGTTGACACTTGGCCAGAAATATCACAAACTCTGAGTGTGGCCCTACGCGGTGGGTTACGTAGCCCCTGCCCTCAAGGGGCTTACATGTTTGTGTTCTCTCTTTTAAAATACTAAGTTAGTTTTGGTTTATTTGCTTAAGTAAGTTTTTATCAGTATCATTTTTTATAATCCCAACATATCCTTACCCAGGGAGGTTTTCCATTACAGCCAAAGAATTTTAAAAAGAGGAAAAGAGAATAGTGTTCTCTTAATAGATGATTACTTTCCATTCCACTGCCTACCCAGGCTGGTTCTTTCATCCCATCCATTTGGCCTTTCTGAAAGAGTCTTTTTTTAAGGCTGATGGTAGGCTTATGATGTGGGAGATAGAGCACCGTGTTTGAAACACTGACTGTCCTATGAACCTGTGTCAGTAGAAGGACCCTTCTGGCCCTCCATCTTCTCATATGTCAGAATGAGGACTTTGAGCAAGAAGACCATTAAGGTTCTCTCCACCTCTAAATCCACGATCTCTGGTTAAGGGATCTTCAGCTATATTGATATCTATTTGGGATGCCAAACGTGGAGGGTCTTTTGAGGTTCCTTAGTCTAATTGGGTTCATAAAAGTATGAGGAAAGGAAGAATAGTTTCCAGGAATGGGACAACAGAGCTGGTCTGCTCATTGGACTGGTGGCTGCAGACCTCCATGGCCATATCCATCAAAGTACTGGGTTTACCAGGTGCAGCTAGGTGGCACAGTGAATAGAGCACCAGCCCTGGAATCAGAAGGACCTGAGTTCCAGTCTGGCCTCAGACACTTGAAAATAGCTGTGTGACCCTAGGCAAGTCACTTAACCCCAGTTGCCTCACCAAAAAATAAAGTATTGGGTATACTCCCAGATCCCCCTCCCCCATAGCTGAAGTTGGCTACCCTGTCAGGATGGGAAGCTTTCCGGGCACATAACAGCTGCCCCCTCTGCCACCATCAACCTCATGCATGAACTGTAAGCATGGAGCAGTAGATGAAGAGCTTGCCTCAGGGCCAGGAGGGCATGAGTTCAAGTGTCTGGGACCTTGGACAAGTGTCTAATGTCTCAGTGCCTCTGACAGCTCTAAGACCAGGGAGTTGTAGAGGTGGTGCTGCTTGGCGTTGGCAGGGGATGTTTCCTTGCCAAGTAGCTTCCTAGATTGAAGAACTCAGGCCCTAATTATGCTAAACCCTGATGAGACACAGAGAAGAACAAAGTAATTCCTGCCCTCAAGAAGCTTCCATTTTGATGTTCACAGACAACTCATGCACAGCAGCAATTTCAGCAGTAGTAACGGCAGCACCGAGGACCTGTTCCGGGACAGCATTGACTCCTGTGATAATGACCTCACAGAGAAGGTGAGGGCAAGCTGGGCTTTCCATCTGCACCCTTGTTTCTCACTGGGCATTGAGGGTTTATGAAGAGAATCTGAACTGTTTACATTGAGGAATGGGGCGCAATGAAAGGAGCAACAGATGTTGTAACAGTGTATCCCAAGTCACTGGAAGCCCCAGGGCTTCCTTGGGGAAGTCAAAATTTATTAAGTACCTACTGTGTATTTGACTGGGAGATGGGTAAGGAGGTATGCATGTATGTGTGCACACAGTTGTACACATTTGTACAGTTCTGCAGTGGGGCCCTGTGATCCTCCTGCATTTTTCAGCCACACACAAGCCTTAGATGCTCTGTTCCCTAAATCCACCCACTCCAACTTCTTCCTGTTGTATGTAGGTGAGCTTCCTGGAGAAAAAGGTGACCGAGCTGGAGAATGACAGCCTGACCAACGGAGACCTGAAGAGCAAATTGAAACAAGAGAACACTCAGCTTGTCCACAGGTATGGACACACCCACCCTTCCTGGGAAAGGGGCAGGCTGGACGCTGTGCCTCGGGGGATGGGGATAGGGATGAAGAAGGGAGGATCTGGGCCACTGGGGACGGGGATAGGAATGGAGAGGGGAGAATCTGGACTGCTGGGGATGGGGATAGGGATGGAGAGGGGAGGATCTGGGCCGCTGGGGCACGGATAGGGGTGGAGAAGGGAGGATCTGGGCCGCTGGGGACAGGGATAGGGGTGGAGAGGGGAGGATCTGGGCCGCTGGGGACGGGGATAGGGATGGAGAGGGGAGAATCTGGGCCGCTGGGGACAGGGATAGGGGTGGAGAGGGGAGGATCTGGGCCGCTGGGGACGGGGCTAGGGGTGGAGAGGGGAGAATCTGGGCAGCTGGGGATGGGGATAGTTGTGGAGAGGGGAGGATCTGGGCCGCTGGGGACGGGGCTAGGGGTGGAGAGGGGAGAATCTGGGCAGCTGGGGATGGGGATAGGGGTGGAGAGGGGAGGATCTGGGCTGCTGGGGACGGGGAGGATCTGAGCTGCTGGGGGAGTCAAGGTCCAGATAATTCCCCCCAGTCACTGAGGGATTATAACAAGAGAGTGGTAGATAGAATATTGATGGCAGAAGACCTGTTTAACCCCAGTGGTTGCCTCTCCGCAGGGTACATGAGCTGGAAGAGATCATGAAAGACCAGGAGACGATGGCGGAGCAGACCCTGGAGGAGGAGATCAGACGGCATCGGGAGTTATTCAGCAAACTCGAGAAGGAGAAGAGCACCGAGATCGAGCTGCTAAACACAAGGTGTGTGTCTCACTCACTTTCTGGGTTTCAGTGAATCTATGGCCTGTCAGTGCCATGGATGATATTTTGAATATCAGGTGAAAATAATAGTACCGTTGATACAGTGATGAAAAACTTTACACCCATTTGACCTGATGATGACCTGGTGAGGTAGTTCCCATATGTATTAGCTCCATTTTACAGATGAGAAGACCAAGACTTTAGAGCTTACATTCTATTTGTGATAAGAATTCCTAGAAGAACTTAAAAAACCTTTTACATTTGTGATCCAGTGAATCCTCGCCCTGTCCCTGTAAGTTAAGAAGAAACAGGTAGTATCCCCATTTTAGAGCTTGGGAAATGACTTTCTTAGGGGCACTCAGGTCCATTAGGGGCAGAGCCCATATGATGCTCGTCTCACTCTCAGCCCGGGGCTTTCTCTACTGCTGAGCTTGGTTGTATAGATGAAGCCCAAGGACCTAAAAGAAACCAGAGACCGATTTAAATCAGGAAAATATGTCTGCAGGGCAGGTGTGGGATGTCTTTTAACCCCCCCTTCCCCCTGATCCAGGGACACCGGCCCCCTGGCTCTTCTACCAGCAAGCCCCACCATCTCTTGGCTCGGGGCACTCCCTCTTCCACACTGACTGCTTCCCTGACTCCCCGGCTTCCTTTAAGTCCTAACTAAAACCCCACCTCCTACAGGACGCCTTCCCCAGCCCCTCTTAATTCCAGTGGCTTCCTTTTGCTAAGTATCTCCGATGTATCCTGTGTAGAGCTTGCTTTTTATGTTGGTTTTCATGTTGTCTGCTCTGTTAGACTGTAAGCTCCTTGAGGGCAGCGACTGACTTTTACAAACTCTCTTTGTGTCCCCAGAGCTTAGCACAGTGCTTGGCACATAGAAAGTGCTTAATAAATGTTTATTAGATTGAGAATGGCATGGGATGTTAGATTTAAAGCTATATTGGACCTTGGAGGACAATGTTTTTCAGATGAGGAAACTGAGGCTCGGGGGGGGGGCCTGGTGACTTGCCCCAGATCGCATAGCTAATAAGTGGGGGGGGGGATTTGAACTTGGCTGTTTCTGGCACAAAGTCCAGCACTATCCACCACGGCATGCTTCTTCTCAGCACTCCCACTAGAAAGGGAGTGTGGTTGGGAAGGGAGTTGAGAGCCTTGGACCTGAGTTCAAATCCTGCCTCAAACACTCATTAGTTATATGGCCCTGAGCAAGTCACATAACCCCTCTGCCTGCCTCGATCTCCTCATCTGTAAAACAAGCCCTTTATGGCTTGTTGAGGACAGGCCTTCTTGGAGTGGGACCTTGATGGAGTCTCCTCCATTCTCTGGGTTTTCATTTCCTCATGTTTCAAATGAGGGGGCCGGGGCCAGATGATCCCCCAGTACTAATGTTCTGTGGTTCCCCCGGGCGGGATATTAGGAGAGCAGACCTTCTGAAGAGATCTAGCAGCTGCCTGGGGCTCCAGCTCTGTGGGCTGCCTTTGATGCTGAAAAGAGCAGGCTTTAGACTTCTGCACAAAGGATGGTCTGGAGTCTCTTTTCTGTCCTCCCATGCTCAAGCCTCCAAAGCTTGTCTGGCCCCTGGGTGGTCTGATTGATGTCGGCAAAGACCACCTCAGCCCTTCCAGACCTGCTCCTCCTTTAGGGATGCCAGGCAGAGTGGCCAGCGTCCAGGGCCAGGGCTGCTTCCTCATTACTCAAGAGGTAATCACCACCATGCAAAGAGCTCCCTGTTAGAATCCCCAGGCCTGGGTTCCGACCATGGCCCTGAACGAGGATCCTGCTGCAGAAATCGCTTTTAGAAATTATTGTGGTGATTTGAACAGCATACTGGTGTGGGCTTCATTTAAAAAGCAGCCATAGCCCAAAGAATACCTCAAAACACCCTTGAAAAGTTGGTATTTTTTTCAGTGAACAAAAGTATTTTTCTCACTGTCACCCCAGCCCCTTCCCCCTTGAAAAAGAAAAACAAAATCCTCGTAAAACAAAGAAATCTACGTAGTCGAGCAAAACAAATTCCATACCCATCTCTGGCAGGGGGTGGGAAGTGTGTTTGACAAGGAGCCCACTGGAGTCATGGTGGGCTCATTCCATTGGTCAGAGGAATTCAGGCTTTTGAAATATTCAGTTGAAAAGAACTTTGAAGTAGTTGTGGTCATATTCAGTTCTGAACATACCAAGAGTTAAAAACAATGGTGTTCCTTCTTAGAAGTATCCTTTTAAGATGATGTGGTCACATCATGCAGAGAGTTAAATGGTTTTTTAGGTCGTTTCTTTTGCAAACAAGGAAATAAAATTGAGTGTATGTGTGTGTGTGTGTGTGTGTGTGTGTGTGTGTGTGTGTGTGTACATTTGAGTATATAAATACAAAAAGTTAATACTTTTAAAAAAAATTCTCAATTACATGTAAACAAGAAGCTTTAACATTTAAAAAACAAATTTTGAGTCCCAAATTCTCTCCCTCCCTCCCTTTCCTTCCCCCTCCTTGGGAAGGCAGGCAATTTGATTTGGGTTAATCATATGCATTCATGCAAATTATTTACATATTAGCCATGTTGCAGACCAGAAAAATCCCAAGAATAATGATGTAAAAAAAGAGCTAATGCTTTTTTGATGGAAAAACCACTTGACCTTGGCATGGCACAGTGGAAGAAACATTTAGAGTTGAGGACCTGGGTTTAAATCCCAACTCTGACGAGTCCGAGCTAAGTGAACCTTCATGAGTCATTGGTTAAGTGATTCCCACAGCATCACACAGCTAGGAAGAAGTGTCAGAAGTGGGATTCGAACCCAGGTCTTCCTAAGTCCCACTCTCCATCCACTGGGTCCTGCCATAACGCCTCTGGGGAAACAGTTATTGTGGACCAGGATTTCACATTAGAGAGCAGTCTCTCTGATGTCCCCCAGGCGTCGAGTGCAAATTGTCCCCCTGGGGACTAGTGGGTTTGTTTATTTACTTTGACAACCCAGATCCTATTTTTAATTTCCACTCTGGAGGCTGGTTTCTAAGAGTTGCTGTTAATGTTCTTAATCCCTCATACCTGGCTGCTCCCTCCTGTCCTCTTGGTAGGAGGCAGCGATGCCCAGGAGAGCTCTGAGCTGAGAACAGAAGGCCATAGCTTTGCTCCCAGCATGGCTACTGACTCGCTGTGTATCTGTGGGCAGAGGAACTCCCCTCTCTGGGCTGTGGCTGCTGATTTTATTAAACGAGTAGAGACTTCGGTGATGTCTGCATTCTAGGGTTTGATGTGCAGACCTATCAGCCCATCTGTCATAGGAGCATTGGCTTGAGAGTGGTCAGGGACCTTGGGTCATTTAAGGCAACTCATCTTCCAGTAGAGGCCCAGATAAGGAAAGTCCCCTGCCTGAGGTCCAGAGGTCGTAAGCATGAGAGGCAGGATTTGAACCCAGGTCAACCAGCTCTGAAGCCAATACTCTTTTCCTTGACCACGTCTCCAGAGCAGTCTGGTCTACTGTTTGGCAGGTGATAGGGAAAGGGCGAGGTAAGCAAAAAGAGGATGCAGAGAGGTGGAGGAGAGAAGCCAGCAGCAGGTGCATTGGACGTTGGACCCCAGAGAGTGGAAGGAAGTCTTCTCTCCTACCTCACCTTCCCTTCCGTCTCTGATAGCAACAACATTTATGTAGCATCTGCTGAGTGCTGGGTTCAAGCCAAAGTAAGGTGTCCAGATTGGCAAGAACGTGGAACGCACAAAAGGAGTGACGCGACATCGGCCTGGGACGGTTGGCCGGAACCCAGTTAGTTGTGAAGGTCTTTGCCCATGAGTATCCTCATTTTACAGATGAAGCTGTTGTTATTGTTCTGTTACTTCAGTCTTGTTTGACTCTTCATGACCCCGTTTGGGGTTTTCTTGGCAGATACTGGAGTGGTTTGTCATTTCCTTCTCCAGCCCATTTTACAGACAGGGAAACTGAGGCAGACCAGGTTAAGTGACTTGCCCAGGGTCACACAGCTAGGAAGTATAAGAGGCCAGATTTGAATTCAAGTCTTGCTGACTCCAGGCCAGGTGCTCTGTCCACCAAGCTACCTAGCTGCCTCTGAAGTTCTCTTGTACCACTGTGACCTACAGTTGTAGCCGTGGCCTTGGTCGTGCTTGGAGCAGCAGCTGCTGAGAAGAGGGGGAATTGAAATTTGAGAGGAAATGCCCTACAGGAGTCATGGCAGCCAATGTGGCGGTCAGGCTCTGACCCTATTTGAAGGTCAGAGTCTGCTTGCACCTTTCTAAAAGTCAGTAAAAGACCTAGGCCGAGGATCATTCCAGAGAACAGAGTACGTTGAGGAGCTGTGGTGAAAAGAGGACTTGGCATAGTCCTTGGCACACAGTAGGTACTTCGTATTAGGTTTCATAGTAGGTGCTTCCATAGGCTTGTTGATTGACTTGACTTACTACTTGTGTGACATTGGGACCTTTGAGACTGGCTTGCCTCATCTGTAAAGTAAGGGGTCGGACTCTGGGGCCTCTTCCAGCTCTCATGGGTACATGACCCCTTCTTCCAATAGTGAGGAACAAACGTGGCCACCTGCCCCTCAGGTTCTCACCCCTCAAGGGATACGCTCTTCCTTAGCCATCCTTCAAAATGCTTAGCTCATCTTACACCTCTTCCACAAAGCCTTATATGACCACTTTGGCCAAAAAACAATCTAATATGATCATGGACTTCGCCCAGAAGAAGGTGTGCTGTCTTTGGTGTCAAAGAACCTGGGTTCAGAGCATGCATCTGATGCTTATTGCCTGTGTTGTCTTGGACAAGTCATTTACTCTGGCCTCAATTTCCTCATCTGCAAAATGCGGGGTTAGACTAGATGGCCTGCTAGTTTTATGTATCTGTGATCTTAAGAGAGGCCTAGCTTCTAGGAAGAAGGTGGTCATGGTCCCAATGGACTCTGCTGTCATCACAGTCCCATCTAGGTCCACCACTGAAGAAGGATGTTGATAAGCTGAAGCTTATCCCTGGAAGAACAATCAGGATGTCGGAGGGCACCAACGACCTTCACAGGCCATGAAGGTCATCAGTAGAAGGAACTGGGGTTGTTTAGCATGGAGAAGAGAGAGCTCAAGGGGCATGTGGGAGATCCTGGAATAAGGGGAATTGGACTCATTTTGCTTGGTCCTAGAGTGAAGAACAGTGGGCAGAATTAGACTATTAACTACCCAAATGGAAAGTGACAGCCTCCGTCACTCCCTGTAGGTCAGTTTCACTTAATTGTCTTCCGAGAACCTAACAGTATTTTGGGTTGAAGATTGGACATTTGGGGAACCGAGCAACTCTAACAAAAAGTCCCTATGTCTAAATAAATACAGCCACAGTTGCTACAGAGAGAGTTAAATCCAACCGTCCACCATTTTAATTCAACAGGCATTTTAAAAATTAAATTCTCCTGTATGCAGGCTGCTGGGGTGTTGATACAGAGATCGGTTGTCAGACACTGTTCCTAGCCTTGCTGGAGTTTAATGACCTATATAATTCCTTTAATACCTCCAGGATCAGTGAGTCTGTATACACACTTCACAAGGGCAGATTATACCTCCTTTTGACAAAGCCTTAGTTTAATAAAATACATGGTTGCCCCAAGTTACTGGGGCTTTAAAAAATAAATCTCCCTCAGTCACCTGGGTAATAAACCTGTCAGAATTCATCGAGGCTGATCCTCTGATCTGGTCTGTCCTGGAAACCTTCGTAGCTTGACTGATACCTGCCAGAGTTGATACTGCTTTTGAGATACACCAGTGAGGCCTCGGAGGAGAACCCCAAGGAAGGGACACGTTAAGTGGATTGGGAATGCTCCAAATTCAGGGCAAGTACTAAGGCAGGAAAGGGCATTTTCTGCTGGGGGAAGGTGAGAGGGGAGATGGAATCAGAGACAACTTCCTGGAAGAGGTGATTTATTGTAGAAACTGAACACAGACGCAGCATTGGAAAATGGTGGTTTTGATTCTGAGAGCCAGATCGTTAAACCTAAAGCCAGGTATTTGCTGTTTTAGGCATTTTGCCTTTTTCAGGAAAGAATTTATGTTTTGGGTTGAAATTCTGCAGTTGTGAGTCTGTGAGTGAAAGTGACATTGGTTTCTCTTCATTCTGTCCCCTTGCCCCCCACTTCCCTCAGGGTACAACAGGTAGAAGAAGAGAACACAGAACTGAGAACCACAGTGACCCGTCTAAAGTCCCAGACGGAGAAATTAGATGAGGTAAGACTTTTTTTTTAATTAACCTTTTTTTGTTGCTGTTTTTACATTACCTTGATTTCCAGATATTTCCCTGTTGGCATTGGTGTTTTGGAGATTGCCAGTTGCTTCGTGTGCAGAGGAAGCAGGATCTGGTGTAGAGGTGGGTGGGGCTGGGTGGAGGGGTCGCTTGAGTTTCAGTTTCTTTGGGGATGGCGGGCAGGCTTCCTTGGATGTTGGCTGGCTCTCTCCCTGATCCCTTCAGACATCATTCCCCGCTTCCTTTGACAACGTCCCGTCTCTAAATGGATGGGGTGGCGGGTGTCTTGGTCATTTCAGGAGCGGCAGAGGATGTCTGACCGGCTGGAAGACACCAGCCTCCGGCTCAAGGATGAGATGGACTTGTATAAGCGGATGATGGACAAGCTGCGGCAGAACCGGATAGAGTACCACAAGGAGCGCGAGGCCACTCAGGAGGTGGGTCACCTGCGTTCAGGATCACCGGATGCTGGGGTCCAGTTAGGAGAGCATCACGACTTGGCCATCTGGGTTGGAGGCCTGGGCTCCCCAAGAAACTCATTTAGTAGAGACATTGTGGTATAGGGCACTTGGAGTCAAGAAAACCCGGGTTAGAATTCCACCTTAGACACTTACTAGCTTTAAGAGGCAGCCTGGGCAAGTCACTTAACCTGTTTGCCTCAGTTTCCTCATCTGTAAAATAAGGTCTCTTCCAGCTCTTCATCTGTGATCCAGCCCTAGGAGGTAAGTAGTGTAAGTGTTGTGATTGCTGTTTTTCAGGTAAGAAAATTGAGGCTGAGAAGAAATTCAGGCTCTATCCATCTCTAAATCTGTGAGCCTAGTAATACTGAGTTACCCATGTTTTGTGGAACATAAAGTCCTAAGTAGGCAGGGACTTGATTTTTGTCTTATGCCCAGTGCTTGATAGAAAGGAACACAGTAGGTGCTTAATAAGTGCTTGATACATTGAAATGAACTTGACCTATTTGGGCCCACATTCCTGCAGCTCATTGAAGACCTGAGGAAGGAGCTGGAGCACCTTCAGCTCTACAAACTGGACTGTGAGCGGCCTGGCCGGGGAAGAAGCTCCTCTTCCAGCATGAGCGAATTCAATGCAAAGGCCCGGGAAATTGAACTGGAACATGAGATCAAGCGTCTCAAGCAGGTGAGTGAGGAAGGGTGGACTCCAATTGGGTGGTGTGGGATGGGGGGGGATGAGTGCATCTACTGCCTAACCTTTCCTTCCAAGGTGGAGCAGGAAGAGGAAGCAGCAGCCACACATAGTGGGAGCCAGGTTACTTTCAGTAGCCTGTCTCGATCCCCCACCAGAGCCTCACACCGGGCAAAGTGACAGGAAACTAGGTGGATAGATGGAGAGGTAGGTAGATGGATGGAGAAATAACTGGATAGATGGAGAGGTAGGTAGATGGATAGAGAAATGGAGAAATGGATGAAGAGATGGATAGATAGATAGATGGATGACATATTAAACCAATTAGGAGACTTGAGGGCAGAGGCATCCTTAGGGTAGGCAAGGCTGCTGCTAAAAAGGGGGAGAACTGGGAGTTACTATAATATAAAAGAAAAATATATAAAAGGAAAAAAGTCCCTGCTTGGCCCTAGGAGTTATATTAAAAATAAAAAAGACTTAAAAGCACTTATAGACTGTTTCTTATAGTAAAGGAAATTAAGAACAAGGCAAACTAAATGAGAGTAAGGACCGGCAGCCACTCACCTTCTTTGTATGTCACTTTAAGGTTTACAAAGTGTGCTAAAGAAAAGCAGTGGGAAAAATAGAAGATTTGGAATTCGAGGACTTGAATTTGAATCCTGGCCCTTTCACTTAATGGCCGAATGACCTAGGGCAAGTCACGTCCTCCCTTGGGTTTCTGTTTCCTCCTCTGGCATTGCTGTGACCTCTCAGGCCCCTTGCGTGGGATCCAGCCCCACGAGGTAGGGAGTTCAAGTATTTTTATCCCCATTTTTTCAGGTGAGAAAACATAGGCTGAGGGAGATTTCCATCTGCCCTCTAGCTAGTAAGTAGCTGAGCTGGGGATTCTCTTGGCTTTATGTTCATTGCTGTCCACTGCCCCAAAAGTCTGTGTTCATTGTACAGATGGGAAAACTGAGGCTTCAGAACAGGAGTGGCGATGGCGGGGGAGGTGATTTGCCCAAACTCTCATAGCAGGTTAGTGGCAGCTTTGGGCCTAGGATTCAAGTCTCCTCACACCTCAATCCAATGTTCTGTCCTGTTCCCCCTGCTCCCACGCCTTTCCCTGCTGCTGACCAGTCCGTGAGATCATCAGTCTGTACCTGAAAGGGAAATCAGAAGGCAACTTGTCTCTTCACTTCATTTTAAAGACAAGACCCCTCGAAATGAAGCAGTTTGCCCAGTCTTGCAGGTAGTTAAGTGGAAGAATCAGGATTCGAACTCAAGTCTCGTGACTCCCAAGTTCAGTATACTTTTCACTGTTCCATTCCAACCTCCTCAGTAGGCTCTCTAAGACTACAGGTTGCACAGAAGGTGCCAATCTTTCACTGGTAGATGGAGTTTCCTCACCTGGGACATCCTTATAGTAATGTCACAAGTTCAGTTCATAACCCCATCCCTATATAGAGTAATAGGGAGGATAAAATCATACGGGGTTTGAATCTTAGTCACTTTCTAGCTGTGTGATTCTGAGAAGGCAATCTTTCTTAGCCTCAATTTTGTCATCTGTAAAATGGGAGTAATAATAGCTAAACTTCATAGGATAGTTGTCAGGGTCAAGTTAGGTAGTGTATGTAAAATGCTTTGTAAACTTCAAAGTTCTGTATAAAAGTTGTTATGTGGTGGTGTTCTTAACTGTCATACACAGTATTATGTGATTTTAAAAAGAAGCAACATGGTGGTATGGTAGGTAGGGAACCGGCCTCAAGTTAGAAATGTCTGGGTTCAAATCCTGCCTGTGACAGGTACTGACTATATGACCCAGGTTGAAACTGTCTCTGAGCTCAGTTACTCATCTGTAAAACAAAGAGGTTGGATTAGTTAGGGTCCAGGTTGGTGAGATCCATGCAGGAGACATCTGCCTTGGAATCCCACCTCTGACACTTCCCTCCCCGAGCCTCGGTTTCCCCATCTGTAAAATGTAGTGCCTTCCTTAGATCGTGATTGTGAGGATCAGATAAGGTGAAATATGTTGGTCTCTGGGTAAATGCTGAAGAACTGGATAAATCAGAGTGGTGACTGGCGCAAAGCCTTTCCTGTGTATGTCCACGGTGATGAGGCTGCAGGTGCTGTGCCTCCTAGCACAGGGATTCTTAACCTTGAGTCCGTGACCTTGAATGGGAAAACAATGGTATCCTTATTTTCACTAGCCTGTAACTGACATTTATTATGAATTAGTGTAGCAAACGTGGTTCTGAGAAGGGCTCCCCTGGCTTTGCTGAACTGCTGCAGGCGTCCAGGACACAGTAACAACAGAGCCCCTGTTCTGGAGAGAGCCTGGTGGGGAGGCCATAAGTACAGTTCCATGAGTCTTCTGTCTTTACGCAGATGGTATTTTCAGATGACTTCCCCAGAGCACAGCTGGGCACATTTCCATGGTGTGTTGGGCACGTTCCTTGGCTCAAGCCTCTCCTTTCTGCCTCTAGGCACAACCCTTCTTGCTCCATATCATTATGCTGAGCCAGGCAGGGCCCCTGGATCAAAAACTTATTCGTGCTGAGGCAGCAGCAGAGTTGCCTAGAACAAGGAGAGAGGCCTATAATAGCCACTTTGTGTCAGGAACGGAAGTCGAACCCTGAGCTTCTTGACTCTAAGGCCAGCGCTGTAGCCACCGTGCGATGTGACATATGCTTTCACTTCCCAGGCAAGTGCCTCGACCCTGGCTGGAACTCAGTATGCCCATTCCCTTGTAGAAGCTCCTCGAGGGCAGGGACTATTTCCCTTTGATCTCTGTATTATCAGTGCCTAGCATGGCACATAGTAGGTGCTTTATGAAATATTGCTTGGTGGAAGGTTACCCCTTCCCGATAGAATGTAAACTTCTTGAGGGCAGGGACTGTTTCCCTTTGGTCTTTATATTATTGGTGCCTAGCATGGCATATAGTAGGTGCTTTATGAAATATCGCTTGGTTGGGGCAGCTAGGTGGCGCAGTGGATAGAGCACCAGCCCTAAAGTCAGGAGGACCTGAGTTCAAATCCAGCCTCAGACCAAACACTTGACAGTTACTAGCTGTGTGACCCTGGGCAAGTCACTTAACCCCAATTGCCTAAAAATTAAAAAAAAAATGTTGCTTGGTGGAAGGTTACCCCTTCCCAATAGAATGTAAACTCCTTGAGGGCAGGGACTTTCACTGCAGTCTGGATCCCAAGCCCCGGCTCAGCATCTGGTGCACAGTAGGTGCTCACCAATTGTTGATTGATTGACTGACTCTTTTTTTTTTTTAATAGGAAAACCAGAAGCTCCGAGATCAGAATGACGACCTGAATGGGCAGATTTTAAGTCTCAGTCTTTATGAAGCGAAGAATCTCTTCGCCACTCAGACCAAGGCCCAGTCTTTGGCAGCGGAGATCGACTCGGCCTCCCGGGACGAGGTAAGGGCAGGCTCAGTCCCTGCGTGGCCCCAGTGCTTCACACTGGATCCTTAAGAAAGGCTTTTTTTTTTCAACCCAACACAAGGTTTATTAGAACATCCACCATATTTACCAGACTCTTAAGGAGTCTGAACATTAGTGAGCTGTTGGCTAGATTTTGAGAATCTGAGCCGGGAAAGGCATTTATTTAAAAAGGAAAGAAAAGGGCATTTCTAGGTGACTCGTCAGCCCCTGGACGTGTGTTAGTGCTCTGATTCTGATCTAAGGAACTCTCTTGTTCCTGCAAGGCGAAAGGGGTCAAGACTGGCAGATACCACACTCTGCCAAGAAAACTCGCGTTAAAGTGATTCTGAGTCACAGAGGCTAGAAGGGACCTTAGAGGCCATCTTAAACCCCTTCATACTGAGGCCTAGGGAGATTCATAGGATGATAGATTTTGAGCTCAGAGGGACCTGGGAGGCCTTTTTTTTTTCTTTTTGACCAGGCAGTTGGGTTAAGTGACTTGCCCAGGGTCACACAGCTAGTAAGTGCCTGAGATCAGATTTGAATTCAGGTCCTCCTGACTCCAGGGCCGGTTCTGTATCCACTACCCCACCTCAGAGGCCTTCTTGTCCAAACCCTTCCTTTGTAGAGATGGAGAAACAGGCTGGGAGAGGCTAAGGACTTGCCCAAGGTCACACAGTTAGAAAGTGTCAGAGGTGGGATTTGAACCCAGATACTCCTGTCTCCAAGTCAACACCACAGTATATTTAACCTGAGTTTTGATAAATAACCACAGGAATTCTGTCTCTGCCAATCTGCTCTATAGCCCAGAAAGTTCCTGCCTTCTCTAAATGCTATTCTGTTCCTCTTTACCCTTCCCCTGGTGCCCCAGGGTTTTTATTATAAATGCGTTCTTCTTTGTAGTGTTGATTCAGAGTTGATTTTCTGTTTTACCCTTTGCCTAGGGAGAGGCTAAAACTACCATCCTCATAGGTTTTGCATCAAAATAATAATAATTTATTAAAATAATAATAATAATTAATCATTGCAATGTTTTTGAAATTAATTTTTATTTAAAGATATCTTTTGTTTTGCATCACCGACATCCCTTTCCAAAGATCATTTTCGTAAAACGTCTTTTTCTTCCTCTACACTAAAACTGAAAAACAAGAGGTAGGCACCTCTCTGCTGGGCCAAGATACTAAACTTGCCATGCCTTGTGGCCCCGGGCAGCTCACTTGGTCTCACTGACCCCGTTTGCTCATCTGTAAAAAGAAGGGATTGGACCAGATGGCTTTTGAGGTGCTTTCTAGCTCCGAGTTTGCTCCCTCAGGCCCCCAAGTTAGGGCCAGTAGCATGTTCCTAACCCATGCTGTGTGATGTCATAGCAATAATCCATTTCAAGGCTAGGAACATTTTTAGGGTTTTTTTGTGTTTGTTTGTGTTTTGCTTTTTGGTGAGGCGATGGGGGTTAAGTGACTTGCCCAGACTAGTAAGTATTAAGTGTCTCAGTCTGGATTTGAACTCAGGTCCTCCTGACTGCAAGGCCAGAGCTCTATTCACTGTGCCACCTAGTTCCTAAAGTAGAATTCTTACCCAAAACCACGTGTTGCAGTTTTTTAACACAGGAGGACTTTTGACTCCTTTCCCCAAGTTAAAAGGAAACCTTATCTGTCCATTGTGACTCATACCCAGCCCAGCTTTGCTTCGGCTGAGGTTGTGTGCGTGTGCCAGTCAGAACAGGGGAAGGTCCTTTGCTTTGCTCGCCCAAGGCTGCGTTTTCATTGGGCATCTCTTATCTGTCTCTATCAGCTTATGGAAGCTCTCAAAGAACAGGAGGAGATCAACTACCGGCTGAGACAGTATATGGACAAGATCATTCTCGCCATCCTGGACCATAACCCTTCAATCCTGGAGATCAAAAACTGAAAGCAGATGGAGGGGTCGAGGTGGGAGTGGGACCAAGGAAGAGCCTGGGAGAGCAGCAGCCGCCCGACACCTTCTGCACATGTCACTGGATTTAAGAGTCACTAGTACTGTAAATGTCTATACATACAGCCACATGTGTGTGTAATTGGGTATGAAAGAAAATGAGTGTGTATATGTCGGTATTGAGATGGTATGCAGTTGATCCTTTAGTCACAAAGGTCTGCTTTGGTTAGCTTTTCATGCACTTTGTTGTACCTTTCCAGGAAAGAGGGCTGGCAGAGGGGATAGAAGGAGGTTATTATTTTAATAACAATATAACTGGAAACTTGTGTTTTAGATATTGGATGAAATGATTACCTCTGGTTGTAAGGATTTTCTTTTTAAAAGATCTATCTCTATTGTTGGAGGTGCCCCCTCACCTCCTACAGGATGGAGAACAAAATGATGACTTTTCCAGTAACTTGAATACCTAGCAGCCTTGTGATTAGGATTAGCTTGATATCATTCTCCCTTCGCCTTCACCGGTGGCACGTCCTGCCAGGGCACAGATATTTGGGCCAGGAAAGAGAAATTGGTCTTTTAGTAGAAAATCATGGAGGACAGAGTCACTGCTTCAGGTCTTTGGTGTGTTTGGGGGTAGAAGGTTTATGACTACCATAATCCCTTGCTGGCAAAGAATGGTTTGTCGCTTAATGTCTACCTCCTCCATTTCACACACCATTCATAATGACTAGTGGCTGGTTCTGGGGTGGTATATGAATGGCTTTGGGTCTCACAAGCATTAAGCAGCTGTTTCTACAACTTAACCCCAGTTTTCAGGGGCCTTAGAATTCAAGCTGTTTAACTTCTCTCTGGGTAGACTCTTGGCCTTTATTTTTTAAGGTTTCCCTTGCACTGCTACATTCCTACTACCTCTCCCTTTGTTTCTGTTTCTGTGTGTGTGTTGTGTATATGTGAGTGTGTCTTGGTTGTTTATTTAAGAAAGTGAAGATGTTCAATTTTGTGTTTGGTAGGGAACAGATGTTTGGAAAGAGTAGGGGACGGTGAAGGTGTAAGTCACTCATAGTTGAACTGAAAGCTCTTTTGGGGGTGAGAAGGGTTTTATTCCCAGAAATTTTCATCCCACACCATCACCTTCCATCCCTGGTCATCTGAATGGATGGCATCTAGATCTGGAAGCCCATGGGCCATGTCTGTGTGGGGGCTGAAACTAATATCCTCAGAGGTTTTGGATCCAACCAAGAGGGGCTTGCTTACCCATATTTTTAAGTCCCACCCAGTGTGGCCTGGCATGGTGGTGTCTATGTCTGTAATCCCAGCTATCTGGGAGGCAAAGGCTGGCAGAGTTGAGCTGGGGAGTTCTGAGCTGCAGGGTGCTAAGTCAGTCACTTGTCTGCATGACACTTGGCATAAATATGGTGAGCCCCTAGGACTGGGGGCCACTAGGCTCCCCAAGGATGTAGCCCAAGTGAGAAGATGAGTAGCCCCTGTCCTTCCAACCCAGGTTAGACAGAAAAGACCCATTTAAGCCCTGCTAGATATACCCAGCACAGTCCTGAAGCCAGGCTGACTCCTCTTGGGATGTAGGATTTTGCCATCAAAGGAGTTGGATACAAAATCAGGGTCCTGCACTCTGCTAGGATGTGAAGCTCTTTTGTTCTAAATATTCAAACAGCCCTTTGTTACCTGCACTAAAGAGAAAGACTGAGGTTGTCTGTGGGACATGACTGGAGTAGCCCAGGAGAACTTGGATTGACTTTCATCATTTTCCCGACACTTGGTGGGGGAGTCACACTGAGAGTCTTTTATCTACACTTACCTAGAAACTGAGCTCTTTGGCAGTTGGCAACATCTTCCTCCCCCTTCCCTAAAATTTTCATATTCATCTTGAATTTTTTTATCCGTTTGTAGTGCATTTCCCCATTTCCCTTAATCTAATATATATAGATATAGATATAGATATAGATATGTCATATATATGTATCATATATATATCTTTATTTTTTTCCCTTCAGTTTCTTGTTTTCTTCAGCACTGACAAGTGAAAAGGAATGTCTGGGCATGTTGCAGGAGGGGATGTGGAGGGATCATAATGAGACTGAGGGGGAGCCATCATGGAAGCAAGAAAAAGAAATGGAGTGGGAACGTTTGTTTGTTTTTTTTATCCCTGATTTAAAAATCTGGTCTGTAAGAGCAGTTACAAGAGCTGGACTTTGCCCTGATACAGGATATTGGCAGCTTTGTAAACTGAGTTTTCCCCTAACAGGGAAGACTGATAAAAAGCAAATTTTGTTTTATTTAAGGAATAATGAATTAGTCAGCCTCCAACACATACAGGCCTTGTGACCTTGGGCAAATGCCCAGGAGACTCTCAAAGACGGAAGTTACTGAGTAGGCACCTTTCTGCATTGGTAGAGGGAGGTTCGTCACCTAGAGTTCCCTATAGCAGTGACATCACAGATCCATTCCAGAAACAATTATCGGGGCAGAGAGGTGGTGCACCAGCCCTGGCGTCAGGAGGACCTGAGTTCAATTCTGGCTTCAGGCACTTGATACTTACTAGCTATGAGAGCCTGGGCAAGTCACTTAACCCTGATTGAGTCACCCCCCCCCAAAAAAAAAAGCCATTCAAATCATATTGACCTATTAATAGCCCGTGGGTGATCAGTCTTCTGAGTATTCTCAAAGTTCTCAGCAAAGTCATTTCCACAGGCCTACTTGAGTGTGAGGTACTCCATGGGAAATCCAGTAATGGAATGGGTATGAAGAGGTTAGATGTTAAGGGGAGAGGATCTGGAAAAAGTAAAATGGAATGAATGGACTGGAAGAGGCAGGGGGAAAAAATCAGAAAGCAAATGGGGGAAGAGAGGCAGAAATTCAAGAAACAAAGCTCCAGGGATGGCAATCATATTTGAATTCAGCAGCAAGATAGAGCAAATGAAAGAAAAGGCCAAGAACCCTAGCACATTCAGGCCTACCTAGTCATCTCCCATAGAAAGAGGTTAAGAATAGAAGTTTTCAGAAAAATGTCAGTTGACCTATCTTTTTTCTTTTTGTTTGTTTTGATTGTCCCAAGTACAGTATATGTTGTGCTCCCCGCCCTTCCCCATCTAAGTCTGCCACAGTAGGGACACCTGGAAAAACTGTCAGGTGCCTGAGCTGCCATGAACACATGGAGGAATTTGTACCTGGTGCAAAGAGGATCCAGCCTTGTAAACAAACAGAAGCAAACAAGCTTTCTTGGCCCGTCCCTCTTTTAGGCGGCATCTGGGCAAGTCAGGTGTTCTTGGCTGTTCCTTTGCTCTTTTCCCAGGTAGCATCAGGTGCTGCTTTCTCTGGGTCAGTGGCTGTTTGCACAGCTGTTCAAAGGAGATGTTCCCCACATCAGAGAGGCCAAACACTGGTGAGGTCCTCTCTCTTTCTCTCTCAACATCTGATTTAAAGGATCAAGTCTTATGTAACACTTATTTAAAGTTAAGTTCCGTGTAGGTGTTTTCATATATATTTTTTTAATTTTTAGAATCAATTGTTGAGGTCTTTTAAAAAATACTTTTGAAGGTTGTCAGAATCAGTGGTAATTAAGCCGACCTGCTTCATTCAGCCCAGTGGACCAACAAGTCTTGTCCAGACAGTGAAGCTTGAGGCAACTGTGGAAGGCGTGTGTGTGTGTGTGTGTGTGTGTGTGTGTGTGTGTGTGTGTGTGTGTGAGAGAGAGAGAGAGAGAGAGAGAGTGTGTGGAGGGAAGAGGGAAATGAAAGAAAGAGAAACCAGCTGCCATTTTATCTGTGATGATGATGCATCTTTTTCTTCTCTTTTTGAGTCAAAAGGTACAATCTTTTTGTTCAATGGGGACTTGTTACCTCCATATCTACCTTAAGACCTTCCTTCCTGCTGCTGCATCCTCCAGGTCTGTTTCTTTTAGATGAGATTTTGGGGCAAAGAATAAAGACTGCCGTCCCAGATGGAAATGCATAAGATCATAGTCTTAGAACTGGGAGGGACCTTTTGGAAGGCCGTCCAGTCCAACCCCTCATTTTACAGATGAGGAAACTGAGGCACTAAAGAGAGGAAGTGACTTGCCCAAGGTCACACAGCTAGAACGTGTTAAAGGCAGGCTGTGAAAAAATTCCCTGGTGTCAGCCCTTCAGTTTGATTGGCTTTTGTATGGAATCCGATGGGAAGCAAGAATTAAGAGAGGATACTGAAGGCATGGAAAGAAATTAACTTTTGTTGTTGTCTGGGTCCTATTTTCCATGAGTATTAGAAAGTTCTGGGGAAAACAAGTGGAACTTTACAGTCTCCTGAGGGGAGGTTTGAATGGGAACGTTTCTGTAGCCTCTTCCAGTTCCTGGTCTAGGATTCCGTGACTGTACTCCATTCTGTGCTGGGTGCCTGGCAAGGAGCCAGTCGGGATGTGAGGAGGCAGGAAGTAGCATACTGCACCTAATAATGATGATGTGATGTTACCTAGCTAAGTTTTGCGAAGTGCTTTATATGTATTATTAAATTTGACCCTCACAGAAAACCCCCTGTGGGGTAGATACTATTACCAACCCCATTTTACAGATGAGGAAATTGAGGCCCAGAGAAATGTAGAAACTTTACAGAGGTCACAAAGCTAGTTAAGTATCCAAGGCAGGACTCGAACCCACATTTTCCTAATTCCAGGCGGCTCAGCCAGTCATCTTGCTGAGTGACCCAGGGAAAGTCGTTTCTCCGGGCCTTTCTTCCTCAAGGAAAAAGGTGTGTGTGTATGGGGCGGGGGAAGACTAGAACAACAAATCAAAAGGCATTTGTGCCAGGCACTGTTTGGGAGGCTGGGAAAGGATACAAAGACAAAAGTGAAAGAAACAGTTTCTACTCTTACAGAGTTTACCTTCTAATGGGGGAGGTTTAGGTCAGTTTCTTACTGAGAGTTCCCTTTCCTCCCCTTGCTTCAGCAGGAGGGCACCCATGGACCTCAAGGTAAATGTATTCCACCCTGAAGTCCTTCTGGCTGG